TCCTTCTATAAGTTGCATTGGTTGTGGCGTTTTACTACAGCAACAGAAAAGTAACTAATACAGGTCCCTCATATTAAACTCAACCATTAGCCTAGAAAATGATAAGGCTGACAGGAAAGCTAAACTCCAAGTCACCAGCCCCTCTTTTCTCCTTGTTGCCTTGTCAGTTAACCTTCTTCCTTACTCATCTGAGAAAAAAGAAAAATTACCCCAAGAGGGAGCCACCTTATAGCCAGGAAGATTTTACTAAGAGTTGAAAAGTGTTTTTACCTGAAAAAGAGAGACTTAAAATTTTAACAACTCCCCATGATCAATTCCACGTGGGCTACTGCCCCCTACCTTATCTCCTGTCACAGCTAATGGAAGAGTCTTCCTTTACCAGTGATCTCTATGGAGTAACCCAGTCCCATGGCGTATATCACAGGGCTTTGCCCCTGGGACTGCATTAGGACCCCGCCTTTTTCAATCCACAAGCCCAGAGGACAAGTCCCTGATAAGGACTAGCAGATTGACTTTATCAAATGCCATATATCAAGAAGACCAAATATTTACTGGTTATGATAGATAACTTCTCAGGATGGGTAATTGCTTTTCCAAGCCTCTGAAGGGCCTGATAAGGTAATTAATATTTTAACCAAAGAGATAATGCCTAGGTTTGGAGCTCTTAACTCCATACTGTTGATAATGGCTCCACATTCATATCTAAAATTACTCAATGGGTCTGAAAGGCTTACCACATTACCTGGAGGCTAAGGAAACACCTATAAGCTTCAGTCATCAGGCAAGGATAAGAGGATAAATGGCATTATAAAAAGTCATCTTAAGGGGCTGGACAGATGGCTCAGCGGTTAAGAGCACTGACTGCTCTTGCAGAGGACTCAGGTTCAATTCCCAGCACCCACATGGCAGCTATGAACCATCCTTAACTCCAGTTCCAGGGGAATCCAAAGCCCTCTTCTGACCTCCACGCCATTGCACAACACAGGTGCACTCACATACATGCAGACAATACAAAAAAAAAAATAAAATATTTGTTAAAACAGTCATCTTAAGCCGAGCCCGATGGTACACGCCTTTAATCCCAGCACTTGGGAGGCAGAGGCAGGTGGATC